AATGGAAATATTGAAAACATATTTTGGGATAATGTAACGCCGGATTTGCTGCACTCCGGATTTGAATGACAATAACGATCTACAACAATAATATGGCGTCTATATTATGTCGCACACACTGAAACTTTTTCTTTTTATACTACTTTTAGTATAGTTTCGTATAGTAAAATCAGAATATGATTTCACCCCATACCGTTCGATTTTATTTGTGCATAGGTATACCAGCTACAGCTACCAATAATACTATATTATATTATTATTGCGTGTCATGATCTAGTCGTGAGCAGGAAATCGCCCGTTGGCCACTCGCCGTTCTCATTAAAACGAAAAACAAACCGAGTGTCTATGGTTTTATTGTTTGAAGCATAACTACAGCAATATTCAAGGCCGACCCGAACCCGTCTCGAACTCGCTATCTACCACAAACAGACAATAACCATGTCTGTAAGCATATTATGTTGCATACTTAACCATCTATATAAACTTCGAAATGCGTAATAAATAATAATAATATTATGAATACATTAAAATAATAATACGATCACTAAACACTAATGTTTTACGATATATCAATAATCTCAAAATACTTAAATTAATTATCCTTATCTTTATTCAGTTATTAGAAAAATATAAAAAAATTAAATAATATATTATAACATTTTATTCAAACGAATAAGTAATTTAAAAAAAAAAAAACCTGAACCTTTCCTAAGCTCAATAAACCGTTACTGTTATTTTGAGYAGTTATAATATAGAAACTATTTTTATTTTTTTATTTTTATCAAAGAAGTTATATCTATGGTAATGAAAAACTCAAATCAATAAAGTAAATAACTGTGCATTTTTATTAAAACATAGATTTGKTTTTTGTTGTTTTGATAGTCCGTTTTTAATATGAATAACATTCTAGAAAACAATGAAGATTTACATGAAGAGTTTAAAACTCTTTTGGTTAAAATTGAACCGCACTTTGTCGCGTTAAAATCAAATCTCGGTATTTATAAAGTTTTGTTTTATTTTTAAATCAAAGAATACTATTATCTATATTGTATATAATAATGAGTCATTTATTAATCACTAATGGAAATAAAAGTTTATTTTAGAAAATTAAAAATATTTTCGTAACTATACCAGGGTAACGTAGGTATTTTTTAAATTAGTTTATGCAATGGTTATAGCCATTTACACCCAAAGGCCAAAATGTATTCATAAATACTCATATGATAATATAAGATGATTATTTTAAAAGTAATCACTTATTTAAAAAAAATTTTGAAGAAAAAATAGTATTAACATAATTCTTACTGTGGCTTAAAGCTGTTACAAAAAAAACTTTTAAAAAACAATAAGAGAACATTACTGCTTTGATTCATAAAAAACAAATGTTGTACTAATAGTAGGTAATAGTAGTTTTAATGAACTGAGTACCTATTGGACCTTTACGGGATATTGMTTTAACTTCACTCAACCATCTTTTAAACAATTTATAGTTATAACTCATTAACAACTCAATTTTATAAATCAAAGTACTAATATTTTGCTTCAAAAATAATATTAATAATCTGTTGTTTTTAACGACTAAAAATGATTWAAAAAAATGCTTTCAAAAAYGTTTATAGTTTTTAATACAACTACCTAGTGTTCTTTGTTATAACCACCAAGGTTACGTACATCAATAACTGTTATAGAAAATAGAACGTGTGCTTTTAAATATAAAATTATTTTGTTAATGTGTATGTATAAAACTGTTTTTAGAGAAATTATTATGCCGAGAATGGTTACACAAGTTATTCAAGACTGGTAAACACGAAGAATCACTTAGAAACGCTTATCTAGCAAAGTTAATTGAGCAACTAAAAAAAGGAGATTTAAAAGAACCGTTTAATAATCTTCCAAAACACAAATCACCTTTGTCACCCTTACCCATACATAATTTGTCTAAGCAGGTGAGGATAATTAATATTTCGAATTTATTGTAAATTTAAAAAAAAAATTTTTTTGTATGATTTTAACTTTTTTGGGGGGGACTATAATTTATTATATTATTATATTGCAAAAACATAGTGGACATTTAAACATATTTTAGTACCTATAATTGTATAATATAACAACTATCCTTAAATTAAATTATTTAATGTTATCGGTTTTCGTTGAACAATAAAAATTATCAGAATACAAAAAAATATTYAACACGATTTTGCAAATAATTTCTTATCTGATTCTATTTTCTATCAGAATATTAGTGTTCGTGATAAAAAACCTATAAAAAAAGTAGAGGAGACTTTGTTTACGGATGTGGTAGATGTCCACAAGACTTTAGATGCTCCAAAATCCACAGAAAATCATGTCCATACTAAAGAAATCAAAACGTTTGTTGACGTTAGTGATAATAAATCGATAAAAACAGAAGAGGAAACTTTGATTACGAATGTGGTAGATGTTCACGAGATTGTTAATGCTCCCAAATCCATGGAAAATCATGTCCATGCTAAAGAAATCAAAACGTACGTTGACATTTGTGATGATAAATCGATAAAAACAGAAGAGGAAACTTTGATTACGGATGTGGTAAATGWTCACGAAATTGTTGATGCTYCAAAATCCACGGAAAATCATGAACATACTAATGAAATCAAAGGTAATATCAAAATATTCGGCTAGACTTTATAGGTATTTATATTCTTTATAGTTTATCTGTTTATTTATTAATTGATTTTAAATGTAAAAGTTAAATTGTATAAGCTTTCTGGCTTTAGTTTCTTTTCATAAATAAGTAAACCATAAACGTTGGCCTACCTAAAACCATAAATAATAATTATGTGTAATTCAGTAATTGACCGTAAATTTACGTACTTTTCAGCCTACTATTTAAAAAATAAATTTAAAAAATGTATTGCTTATATAAATTTAATAATAAACTATAAATTTAATAAAAAAAAAGCTTAACGTAAAATCTATACAGTACAAACATATGCTCAAAACACTCGTATAACGTATATTAGTATACAAACGAGTGAAAAATTTGGAGTAACCTATATTATTTAAAGTTTGGCACACATTTTCTCGGTAAAAATATCTTTCGACTTTGCAAAAGTTGATAAATTATAGATAACCTTGTGCTTTTTTGTTATATTCTTTACATATTTAGTGAATGCGAGTTCCAATCAAGTAAAAGAGTTGGATATCAATGAAATTGCAGATGATTTTAAAAAAATACAGGTAAAATAATCAGTTACTTAAATTATTTGTATTTTTATTTTGCAAAGTTTGATTAAACTCACAATATTTGAGCCAAAAACAACATATCATTTATTAAATTTATTAATTATAAATTTTATCTTTAAAATTGTATGCAGCTTTAAAGCAACACATGACTTTCTAGTACTCTAGCGACAGGCTTGACCCTAACTATACAAATTTAATATTTTATCAAGTTTAACTAAAAATTAACTGTGGTATARTCAAAATTTGAACTTTAAATGCTCATAAAAATAATTATGCCTAGGTATATGTATTGGCTGATTGCTAATATTTTTATAGAATAACTGTAATAAAAATTTATGAGAAAATTTGTATTACATTTTAAAATTTTTTTACAGAACGAATAATTTTTTATTGACATTTTTAGAAGAAAAACTAAATTTAATCAACGACAATCCAAACAATATTAACACATTTTTATCAAATTCTCATTTATTTATTATGGTTTTTCACGCTTATTTTAAAAAGTAGGTACTAATAGAATGTTCAATGTCGACCTCCCAAAAGTTCTAACTAGATCCAATCAAAGTGACAATTAGAGCATTTTTTTTACAAGAAAAGTTGAGAAATTKTAGTTGCATAACAATTTTCAAATACCTCACTCAAAAGTCTAAAATCATAAAACATTATAAAAATGAAATTATAATTAATTTCCAAGCTCCTCCCCCCTTGAAAAATCGTACATATACCACTATAATGAACACAATTTCTACATTTTTTTCTTTTTAAAAATAACAATATCATCTTATATCTACGGTAGGGTTAAACATAATATAACTTTGACTCATCTATATAAAATCTTAGGTGGCAAGTGCAAATTTTTTTTTGTAATGCACTTTTGAGATGAATTTACAATTACTAAAATACTCACAGATCCATAAAAATGTATTTTCACTAATTTAATATATTTCATACTTTTAATAAGTAATTAATAGGGCTCAGATTTCAATG